TATATATCCACTGTGACGATTCACATCGTACAGTATGTGCCTGTGTCTTCTTCTTTTCTTCAATGTGATATGCAGGTTTCGTCTAATCTATTCATTTTGAAGGCATGTAATCTCTATAGTATCAGAGCTTCCGATACAAGTAGTACTGCGCTTCTAACGAGTCTAACTCCAAGGTACCATCTGAAACGAGTGTACGCTGATGAAATGCCTTAACATATTTAATTGGACACGAATGAAAATTCCTGCAGATTAAGAGTAGTACTGGCCACATAAAGCCTTCTTTAAAATCAAGAATACTCGCACTATAGAGCAAAAGGAGTATGTGTACATGGTTAATGCATGTGCTCACCAGAATACCAACGAAAACGAATCATCACACGTAAAACATGGTGTATGTGGTTGATACCCGGACCTACACGGGTGTATAATGTACATACCAAACCAACATATTTAATACATGCTCAGTTCTACACACGTGGACACGCACGAGTGTACTCAATAATTCGTTGCGCCTATCTCAATTTGTGTGTATCAAATAATTCGCGAGGGTCTCATTAAGTTCACCACGGGAGCGTGTGACATTTCCGCGAGAAAAAGTGATCTCAATCGAATCAAGTACTCTAGACCTCTGTACCATGAGACTACGTTTGAATAGTTCCAGTGAGATATATCAATCTCGAGACAATTTCTCAACTCCCCATTAGATCGAGTTATTCCTTGACCGTTGCGAGTGTTTCCGATCCAATTGATACTGATCTGAGTAAAATCGCGCGGCTATCTTTCATTTAGACACTTTAATTTTTGATGATTCATCATTGCATACCGGTATAATCTTGTCCGGTGCTTACTATTGATTCACTTTCTTCTGGTTCCTTTCTTTCTTTCTCTTTTCTTTTTTTTCTCTGCTTGTGTGCGTGTGTGGGGTGTGTGTGGAGATCTTATGTCCAGGCCAGCTATACTTGTCCTCCAATCTCAGGATGGGGCGAATCTTACCCATGCGAGTCCCTTTCTAACACACGCACTTTCGAATATACAATATAATAACTAATGATTGATATACTCGTCGCTACGGGAGCATTATTCCTGCACGAAACTACTACTCGGCTCCATTCCATTGAAGCAAAAGCCCGTAGTCGGAACTTATTTCCGCGTAGTCTTGGTATACGTCTCCATAATGACTTTCTGGTGAATTTCCCGATTTGCCCTCTGCCTCTCTTTAGAAGTCGTAACAGACCTGTTCCCTTCCTCGTTCTCCGGTCAAGGTGCCAACCGGACGCAAGTGCGCATATACAGCTCACTGCTGGTCACAGCCACGCTAGTGCTGGAGGAGCTTTCGGTCATGTTACTCCTTGATGTTACTGCGTATGGCACTCTGTATCAGCCATAAACCCATGATCCGAGAGCACCCTCAGTAGTGGTCATAGACCCTGGCGTTGCTCAGGCAGCCTTGTTGGTGTTGGTGTTGACGTCGTGCGCCGTCTCGGCCTCCTCACTGTCGAAGTGCGTGTCCACATGCGCCGCACGCTCACTCACATTCTGAAAGTGCAGACCACAGCCCTTGACCGAGCACGTGAAGACACTGCTGTCGCTGTGGATGCGCATGTGACTGTCCACATTGCCTTGCTGGGTGAAGCGGCGGCCACAGCCCTCCCACGTGCACTGGTATGGCTTGTACCCCGTGTGCGTGCGAATGTGGAAGTCCAGCGCAGACTTGTACGAGAACCGCTTCTCGCACCCACCCCACTGGCACTCATAAGGCCTTTCGCCAGTATGTGTTCGACTGTGGACCTCGAGATTGCCCTTCTGGGCAAAGGTCTTGTCACAACCTTCATAGGGACAGCTGAAGGGTTTTTCACCAGTGTGCGTGCGAACGTGACGCTCCATCGTCCCCTTCTGGGCGAACCTCTTCGAGCAGCCGTCCCAGTCGCACTTAAAGGGCTTTTCGCCAGTGTGCGTGCGCATGTGACTCTCACTCTCACCCTTAGTCAGGAACCGCTTGTCGCATCCCAGCCACATGCAGGCATGCGGCTTGGGGCCCATATATCTGCGGTTGCGGGTGTGCTTGCAGTTGTTCGCATTGATGGAGCTCAGCGGCTTGCCCGCGGCCAGTGTCTCGCTCTTGCAGGTCTCACACATACGCCCGTCATCCCCGCGTGCCGACGAGTGGTAGGCCACATGCGCGCGCATCTCGTTCATGTCATTGGTGCGCATGGTGCACCCGGGCCACTTGCAGGCGTAGGGAATGGGGTTGTCCAGATCCACCTCCATCCCGTCCATGTCCTCGTCGCCCTCGGAGTTCACCTCGCCGTCCGTGTTGGTGTTGCCGGCAATCTCCTGTGCGTGCAGCTGGCTCTGTTCGTGCAGGTTGAGGCGGGATTTCTTACTCTTCGCCAAGGCTCGAGCGGGTGGCAAGTGGCCACCCGAAACCTTGCGCATGCGAGCGTCCTTTCCATTCCCATGCACGTGTGTGTTGTACATCTGTGCGTGTGTATCGGCACTATGCACCACCATCTGGCCCTCCCGCATGCGCTCGTCACCAAAAGCCTCGTACTCGGCCGGTGTTTCAGTCAACGCAAGGGCCTCCTCGCCCCACACACCCCTTCCGGAAGTACGGAACTCCTGGCTGTGAGCGTAGGGTTGTTCGTACACACCCGCTGCACTGGCTGGGCGGGTGTGCTGAGGATGAACCAGGAAGCGCTGTTCTTGCACCGAATGCGGACGTGCCCGCTCAAAGTCATGATACTCTCCACGCACCTCACGCACGTTGCGAGCAAACGTGGCTGGATGTCCTTGAGTGTAGCTATTGTCATGGTACATAGTCCCCTGGCTGACGCTGCGTATCGGTAGTCTCGAGCGGGGAAGCATGCTCCCCTGCGCGTGTTGGTACTCATCTTCCGCACTCAGGTGGCCTGCAGCCGCCGGATACGCGTACATGGGCTCTGTGGTAGGATTGAGGGGACGACCATACACATCGTATGCATCGTGATACATCGGATACGGCTCGCTGCGCAGCGTCGCTTCTGAGTGTCCGCGGCGCTGAAACGGTGCGCCAAACCCGCTGCGCGCAAATGGGGGGTAGACTGGCTCCTGCGGATGCATATAGACCACGTCCCGGCTGCTCAACGACGACATGCTCTCCCTCGCGGGAAGTCTACTGGCAGGTACGCGCGGACCCTGGCCCGGTTCAGTGCGGCCGCCCTCGGCGAAGCGAGTCGCCTGCTGCTGCCTGCCGTTCGCAGTGCCCTTGGTCTTCCCACTGGATTTCTCCTGCGGTGGGGGTGAGTGCGGATGTGCGGGCGTGTTCCTTCCCCCCGGCAGCAGTGCGTGTGACGCCTTGGGATCGTCAACCGAAACCTCGGTACGAGACTGTCCAGCACTCTCAGCTCGGCTCTGGCTGCGCTCCGAGTGGTTCGGGTGAGACCACGCAACCGCCTCCCCGCCGACAGTCCTCTCAGTAGCCCGGCTGTAGAGTTTGGGCTCGTTAGTCCCGACTAATTGTATGTTAGCCGCACTGTTACGGCTGAAGTGGTTCGCTACGGGCATGGACGTGTTTTCCACCGATCTCGAGCGCATGTAAGCCATTGACGGTGTTCTGCGCATCCCCTTCCGAGACCCTCCGCGCTCCACCCGCGATGCGCCGGATGCCTGTGTATGTGCCTGAGGGTGCGCGTAAGGCTGCAGGCGCACTTGCTCGTTGAGTGCCAGCGCCTGCTCAGCTGGGCCGAGACTGGGCGAGAACGCTCCCGGGCGCTCCCCATAATCCCTGTCAGTACCATCTCCACGATATCCCCCATACCCTGCACCGTCACGTGTGTTGCTGTCCAGCATATCCTCGCGCGACTCGCGAGCATGTTCCCAATCGTACTCATCTCGTGGGGCGGGTGCGCTCTTGCCATACGTAGACTTCTCCAGCGCGGAAGACGATGCTGTCCGCTCCACCAGTTTGTTCCCGTCTCTGTGCGACGACAGATTTATCGCCGACTTGTACCGCTCCGTAGCGCGTGTGCGTGTATCGAAGCCCCAACGTGTGTGTGAATCCATAGACTCGCGCGTGTTTCCCTGAACCGAGGCTGGGCGTAGAGCTCGTGCTTCTTCCACGAACGAAAGCCCGCTGTCCTTGTTGCTGCTATCCCATACCTGCTGGCGGCTGGCGGTGCGGCTCGGAGGCGCGCTGGCACGTTTGTATGGCGAAAGGGCTCTCTTGTTGTTGTTATTGGTGTACAGGCGTTTGTAGCCCTCAATGTCTCCCTCGCGCTCTCGGCTGTCATTCTTGGGCGACTGGTTGAACGACTTGGTGATCCCTATACGGGGTGTGTACCTCGATATGGATCGTGTATTAGTTTGCTTCGGCTCCTGTGGTAGGAGCTGGTTCTGCTTTCTCGCCTCTTTCAACCTCGGGCTGAACCCGTCGTTCCGGTCACCGTATTGGCGCTGTAGATTCAACTGCTGCTGTAGCTGGATCTCAGGGCGGAGGCTTGATTTCCTTGACAACTGCGCATTCGTAGCCTGCTGTACCACTGACATCTCCCGCGGGTTCTTGAAGTCCCGCTCCAGTGTCTCGTCCGTGTGTGATGCAATGAGCTGCATAGCTGCAGTTGCTGCGGGTGCATCGGCCTTTGTGGTGCCCGCGGTAGAAGTCCGAGCAATGCTGTGCCGTTGAGTGTCGGTGCTGCCAGCAGGCTGCCTGGGAGGTTGGACAGCCAAGGACTGTGTGTTGTTCTTTGCTTTATCGCCCATGCCCACATCATTAGTAGTGGCTAGCTCATGTACTAAAGGCTGAGAAGCGCTTGATTGGCTATCTCTCTTGGTCGCTTCCGAGCTTCCAGTCCTGCTGTCTTCTAATTGTTCCTTGTTGTTCTGATCCTTCGAATCGCCCTCTGCCCCAAGGTGACCAGATTTTCCCAAACCATTAGCGGTTTCGTCAACTTCTTTTCTTCGCGCCGGGGATGTAGCAAAGGTCTGGATAGCCGAAGAATAGTACAAAATAAGTCATCAAGAGAGGGCTGACGACAGGCAAGCACATACAGGCTAAGGCAAGATGGAGGAATTCGCTGGCTTTTAGAGTTTAACTGAAACAATATGTATGTTGTAACCTTCCATCTAGGTAAAACCCGCATATACACAACTCTCCGAAGCCAGATACAGACATATGTATATGTGCCTGTGTGTTGTTATCTCTCAACATCTCTGTCGGAAACAAATATAAGTCATGTCTCACAGTGATTATATATACACAAATATTTCTCATTATTTAGATCAAAATGAAATATACACATACTCTCTCTCACTCTCCACGTATACATATATATATATATAAATATATATATGTTGTATTTATATTTATATAGATAAAAAATATATATACATATATATAATAGATATATATATAATACGTACATACATATTTGTATATTAATATATATATATATACATACATACATATATACATACATACACAAACACACACTATATATATATATATGCGTGAGTGTATGTGTGTGTATAGATAGAAAAATATGTATATACATTTATATATTTCTATATATATATATATGATGTCCGTATATATTTAAATATATGTATGAATGTATATGTACATGTATATATATATATACATATATATACACACATATATACATATATTTATATACATATATAAATAAATCTGTAACATTTTTTATACATATAAATAGATATACATATAAATAGATATATACATATAAATAGATATATACATATAAATATATATTTGTGTGTGGGTGTCCGTGTTTGAGTGAGTGAGTGAGTGTATATATATATATATATATATATATACAACATATAAATAAAAATATGAAGTCACTATACATATA